CGCACACACACACAAACACACACACACACACACACACACGTATGCAATCACATCCAGTGGCTTATCTCCTGAAATAAGAAAAGGGGCTTGTCAGGATGGCACATTGTATAGGCGGGTGTTTGTGTGCAAATGTGTGTGTGAGTGTGAAAGGCAATGTGCATTAGGGCGATTACAATATCAGCCGACTCCAGATGGAGGCAGGAAAATAAACAGTGGATGAGAGTGCAAGCGAGCTAAGGGACAGACATCGTGCGAGGGAGGCTAAGAGAGAGATTCTGGATGTGTGTATTGGTGTGTGTGTGTGTGTGTGTCTCTGTGTGTGGGGGGGTTCTGCTTGTGAGTGATACAGTTAGAGAAAGTAAAGTTAATTAGCACCTCAGTTCTGGTCTATATCCAGTGAACAGAATGAGGAGTAAATGTGAGACAACGCGCATGTTTATATGCTCCTGAACACATCAATCAGAGTATTTAGCCCTGGGTGAGAGAGATGCAGGTAGCAGTGGAGCTGGAAGCCAAAAAGACCAGCAGCCAAAGTTGTTATTAGCAAATGAAGCAGCTGCTACAGAGCCTAAGAAAACAATAAGAGCATTAATGCTACAGAAGTTAAGATAGAAATTTAAATATGTTTATACTGATGATACATCAGAATAAGACTTAAAAGGAAACTGTTTTCTACGATATGTTAAGGCATGTTTGCATTCTCTGAAAGTGGACGTATTTTCATTAAGTTTCTCTGTTTGTTTTTTTTTTTCCTTTTAGGGTTTAAAAGAAAGTGTAACGCCTGAAACTTAAAACAGTACATTTCACTCGGTTCTGGTAGGACGTAAACAAGCTAGTCCTTTAGGGAGTAGCTTAGCCGTTTTTACGCTACCTTTCTACACTGTCCAATCACAAACTGTAGAAGTGAGAACAAGTTTCTTACAAATATCAGGAATATCAATCGACTTTCCTCCAAATGCTTTGGGTTATTTGTTTAAAAATCAATTTGCAGTGATAAAACATAATTTAAGTTATTAACCTGCTAGGTAACTCACATTTTCTACTTACTATAAACTTCTAAGCCCGCCAAGTCAAAACTAGTTTTGTAAAAACTAAACCTTCAATATTTTTAAGCATCCACACTTTCAATATATAAATTATATGAACTGAATGTTAGTCAAGCAACAAAAATTTGGTTATTGTGGGACTAGCACGACTTTGAAGTTGTAAGCTATAATGCTAACATTAAATTTACAGTTCATGCTTAAAACAAGCTAGTTAAACTGTAGAAATTAACAAGATGTCTCACACAAATACAATTCTGATTTGGACCTTGCACAGTCTTTGAACCACAACTTTCTGTCACAGAAAGAGAGAGCAGGATTTTTGATAACAGGAAGGCTAACACTGTAGAGCTGTAAGCTGCTCTTTTGTTTTCTCCTTTTGGCTTTTCAACCTCTGTCTGTCATTGCGGTTTGGAAATGTTGCAGCGTTTTGGAACTCTCAGAGTTAGAAAATACGTTATTTAGGAAAAATACGCAGCAGATACTGCTGTTTTAGTAACGGGCTTGGGTTATGCTAACTCCACAAATGCTACAGTTAGAAGCTAAAGAAAACAAATTTTGTTTTTTGTTTAAAAATAGTAAAAACTTGTTTTTCAACAAATCCCTTTTCACACACAGTGAGACTTCACCTCTGCTCCTGATATAAATAATTGACGACCTCTAATGGCAAGAAGGTTTGAAAGAAATACTTTTGTTCTCTTCTTATAGCTTATGTTTATATTGTTAAAGAGTCAGCTAAAATAGTTGTCAGAAGGTTAAACTTTTACAAAAAAACAGAAACAAAAATATAGTTTGCCAATATTTTCAGACCATGTCTCCACTGACCTCTTCTTCTTTTTGCCCTATAAAGTCTCACGTAATCTGAAGTAAAAACCCGAACGAGGCTAATAAAATCAGCTGATAGCTCTCGCTGTTGACACAGACAGAAAATAAGACGCCGTAAAAGGACCAAGTTACAACTACAATAAAAGAAAGACGGGAACGCACTCTCACAAACGTCACAGATACTGGTTTCACAAGCACACACACACACACACACACACACACACACACACACACACACACACACACACACACACACACGCTCTTACCTGCAACCCCTTTTTTTATACCACTGCTGCTCTTTCACGGGTGATGAAATTCAATAAGCAGAGAGGAGAACTGCCCTCTCACTGATAACCATCAATGGGCTTATTGATCTACAATGGGACGGGGGGTGTATGGGAGCACGCGCCGTGATTACATCTATAATTCACTCTGGGACTTGGTAACAGACGGCTCTGAATAATAAGAACAGATCTATACATCTTCGAAGGAGTGCAGAGAGCAGTGGCTTTAGCATCCAGTTCAGCAGCTGACATTTGGCCCTCCAACGGCTCTCCCACCTCTAGTGGCTTTGATGCTTCATCCGCTGCAGATGCTTTAATGCCATTACAATTTATGCCTTCGTTTGGTAATGTAATTTAAATCGATCTGGTTTTGTTGAGATATGCTATCGCTTACCTGCCAGACTGGCACGCAGACGACTAAGAGAGTGATGTAATTCCCCCCCTACCCCCACAAAAAAAAACAAACCTGAATTTAACAATGCAGACCTGCTCTTGAAATCACGAGCACACCCACAAATGTTGTGTTTCTAAATGCTAGAGTCTAAAACCAAATCCGAACACAAAAGATGATCACACAGGCAGAAGGAGAGCGTGTGATGCAATCCCAGCTGATGGAGAAAAGCTCGCAGGCTTCAGGATTGACTGAGTCAACATCCCTTATTCACCATGCAGCAAACCTGGACCGCATCCAAACGTCTGTATGTCACACTTAAAAGAAGCGCTTTGTAATTACATCACAGTGCTGCAGCTTCAATGCGACTCTGTGCTGCAGGGAAAAATGTGTGCATGTCTGTGTCTGTCTGTGTGTTTTGTTTTTTTTTTTCCTATTTTGAAATAATAGTAATTCATTGTTTGTCTCTGTGATCTGAAAGGCTTGTTTGGATTCAGCGTAAACCGCTAGAAATCTATTAGCTGTGGTTAACATCAGAAAGCGGCAAACAAATAAGGGAAGGGGGAGGGAATGTGAATAATCAAAGCGAAGTGAATGTGTGTGTGGTGGGGTTATGTGTGTGTGTGTGTGGTGGGGGGGGGGGACTGTGTCATCTGCAAAGCAGATTGAGCGAGAGTGCAGGCGACGGCACAGTCTTTTTCAGCATTGCTTGCTCGAACTGCCAGCCGGGATTTGTGTTTATCTTCGAGTGTGCGGCGAAGGCGAGAATAAAATGGCTTCCATCATTCTTTTTTTTTTTCTTTTTTGCAAGGCTGTCCGCATGTGTGTGAGCAAGTGGTCTGATGCGTTTGACCCCTGTAGCCTCAGAGTTGGAAGAGGAGGAGGAGGAGGAGGGAGGGAGGGAGGAAGAACAGGTGTGAGGCAGGCTGGTGGCTGGGCAGATGGCCCCTGGAAGATGCTGCAGAGGCTGGACCACAGAGCAGCGTGGCTTTAACGCAAGCCTCTCTTCTGGGTGTAAACACACTCGCTTTCGCACGTGCAATCACAGCACTACTCATTTACCCTCCCCGCATCATCGCCGGCTCTGTTCGCCTTTTCGTTTATACTGCCTCGTTCTCTCTGTGTTTCTCCACACACACCGTGCTCACTTTCTTAACTTATCCAGACGTGGAAAATGACATCAGGTTTCCACAGTGAGTGGGGAGTCCTTGTCATAAAACAACACAATAACAACAAAAAAGATGTAATTTTCAACGACAAACACACATTTTTCAATGCACGTGTGGCCTAAAATTATAGATACATCAGCTACACATAACCAGCAAAAGAACACTTGAATGAACAGAAGACTAAATGTGTATTATTAAATACATTTGCTCAAAAATATCTTTTAACTCTATTGCGTAATTAAAACGAGTTAAACACGTTGCTGGAGACTTCTTGACGCGCATTTAGGGAAAAAAAAGAAAGGAAGAAAGAAATCCCCAGTTGTGTGGTTCTCCAGCAGATATTTTCCTTCCTCTCAAATCTGAGTCGTGAGAAAGTGTCTGCTGTATCTGCAGCCGGCTGAGCCAGAGCCGCCTCACGCCCTGTAAACCCGCATGTCTGCGCTTTTCCCAGCCGGAGCAAAAAAGATTCCCACTGGAGAAAAAATATAGAACGCCAGTCTTTAATTTCAAGACTACGCCACTTCGTAAAAAAAAAAAAAAAAGAAAAAAAGAAAAGTGAAAGAGAGGGTGAGATAGAAGCATAAAAAAAGAGAAGGAAGGAGCGCTTTTTATATGACAAGGCAACAGAAAAGTTCACATGGCTTATTGGAGAAGATGTGCTCCGAGGAGGTGTGAGGAGAAAAAAAAAGATTTTTTTTTGCACATTTTAATCTTAAAGCACAGAGCAGAATGTTTAATTTGTTTTCTAAGCAAAATATCAGCTAAAATTGAATTATTGCTGTAGTGAAATCAATGCAAAATGATAGTTAAAAAAAAAAACCTAAACCCAAATCTATATTTTCTGAAAAACATTAGAAATAAAACCGATAAATCCCTGGAAATGCCTAGGAAGCTGCTAACAGCAACACCAGTGTCACCATTTAAACAAAATTTATGGAAATCTAATTATCTGCATTATAGGAGTTATGCCTATTGGGTGCAGCCTTCTAACCGCAATATTCCCAAATTTTCCCAAGTCATAATGAAATTTATCATGTAGTCAGAAACTCTTTGTTCTCACGAGCACCAAGACAACCAGACGATAAAACATCAGTTTGTTTATAGGACATAACCGATGTAATCCGGGCCAGAAAAGGCAAAGAGATTAGCTCAAAAAGGTCACCGCACAAAAATAACGAATCAAAATTAAACATTCCCTAATGCACTATGAGTTTGTTTTGCGGTAATTTGCGACCATCAAAAAAAAAAAAAAAAAAAAAAAAAAAAAAAAAAAAAAACGATCACTTACACTGAAAGGAGGCAGAAATTCCCACCATGCGGTACGGCGGTGTGTGCGGGATTAATAATTTCCAGTCTTTTTCACGCGGTGATCCGCCGCCTGCGTCGGGGAGACGAAAACTACAACGTCCGGCCAGCTCTCGGGGTCTCCTTCGGATTCCTTCCAGCGGGGTCAGAAACGGAGTTGGGACTCCCTCAAACAGACAGAAAACAACAACAACAAAAAAAAGGCGCTTCCGGAAAAAGGGGGGGCGAAAAAAAAAAAAAAAAAAAAAAAAAAAAAACGACCACTGGAGAGATATATTCAGGGTTGGAGAGCCGGGAGTCTTTTGGAGAGGTGAGGAGGAGATGCGAAGGGAAGATGCTGAAGACAAGCCGTCTGCTTTCTTTGCGTTTTTTTTTCTTCTTCTTCTTGTTTTCTTCCCACTTTCTTTTCAAATTCCCATAAGCGTCTGTGTCGGAATTCCAACCGAAAATAGCTGTTTTTGTTTTTGTTTTGTTTTTTTTTTGGAGGGGACGGGGGAGGAGGATGAGAAACGAACCCTCGGTCTCAGCGCTCGGGTTTGTTGTATTCTGCGTCTCCCTCAGCGTGGGGAAGAGGAGTAGCGACGCTCTGCCTCCAGTCGGCGGTGCGCAGCAGAGCCAGGTGGCGAGGGGCGGGACTGGAGAGCTGCTGAGGAGGAAGAGGAGGAGGAGGAGGAGGAGGAGAGGCCAGCAGCCTGCTCCTGAGTGTCCTAAAACAGGTTGGAAAAAAGCAGGGTCAGATTAAGTCAACGTGTTTATCATGTGGACTCCCTGAAGCTATGTTTTGATTTTAAGGGGGCGGGGCTAAAACCTCTTAGTCGATTCAAGGCGACGTGTCAAAAGGTAGTTATGGACTCATATACACAATTTCACTCCATTTTTAAAGCCATTGAGCTATTTATACGTGCTAGCTTCGATGAGCCTCGTTAACTACTGCTGATCTGTAATTGCACAGTAAGAAAAATGTGTGAAATTCATGTTCATAATTGTTCACATTGCTTGCATTTTTGTTAGGATTTTATTTGACTGGCAAACACAAACTGGTGCGTCATTGCAAAGAGGAAGGAAGCAATCCATGGGTTTTTTGTTGATAAAACTCTGAAAGGTGTGGTGTGCACTTTTGTTCGGCTACTGCATTCTGATGAACCTTCCACTGCCAGACACGTCTCTGCCGGCTTTGCGCGCATGGAGACTGAAATTGTTTCCCATTCTCCTCTGCAAGTAGATAATCTGTGATGCCACAGATTATCAGTGGGACTTCAAACTGGATATTTACTGTCACATTCAAACACATACTTTATCTGAATCAATCCAGTCTGAAGGTTTTTTTGTGGCTTCTTACTGGTTTCTTCAAAAGATTGATGCCGCCACCATCACTCTTCACAGCTGGGATGGTATTTTTGGCACAATGGCTAGATTTGATTTGATTTTATTTTTTTTGCTAGCACTCTAAATGTAGGCCACAGAAAGTAAAATTTTGCTCTGATTTCATCAAATGTCTGCCATGTCACCTACATGGCTTGTGTCAAATTGCTAATGGAACGTCGTCATTTCAACAATGGCTTCATCTTCTCGCCACTTTCCGATAGAGGACAGATGTGTACGAAGCATGACTAATAGCTCCACTGCCTGGGCTGTGCATCTCTACAGATCCTCCAGAGTTACAAGGACCTTTTGACTGCTTTTCTGATTAATGCTCAAATTAAACTGCATGGCACATTTGTTAGGTTAGACAGCGCTTAATAAAAAGCTAACTATATATTTATATTATATAATTATAATCCCTTCATCATATTCCACTCATAGGTCATTGAAATCCTGGCTTGCCCATTTGTTTTAAATCTGATCTTTAAAAACAAGGGATTTATTTTTAAGCTTAAATGAATAGAAACAAATAGTACCGTAAAAAACAAACAAACAAAAAAAGTTCAATTTTATTTATTCCACTCATGAATTTCTAGTGACCCTTAGTACTTACACACATCCCTGGTGTTATAGACCGGAACATACCAGCCAAATGCCTGAGTTCCCCGCCATGGGGGGGTGTGTGGGTGGGTGTGAAAAAAAAAAAAAAAAAAAAAAGATTTCGACTGCATGATGCATGTTTGCATTTCTTTCACACACACGCACACGCACGCAGACACACATCATTCCCAGTGCTGAAAAGGCCCAGGCAGGCAGACTGGCCCGCTGTAACCCAAGGCAAACACTTTCTCCAGACCATCTGGAAGTCATCTCGCCCACAGAGCCAGTGAAAGCGCAGAGCAGAAGCTACGTTTACAACTCAGTGACAACAACCGGTCCTCTTGAACTGCATGGCTGAACAAGTTACGCACCACTGTCTGTTCACAACATGTCGTCAAGCGTTTCATTGTACTCCATTCACTTGTACCGACTGGTTCGTTGGCTGTTAGAATATCTAAAAAAAAAAAAAAAAAGTTCATTCCATCATAAACAAAGTTCTCTGAATAATAAAGGGAAATAAGGTCGTATTTTTTTCTGCTGTGTACAGTATGAAAGAAAAGAAGAAGAAAAAAAAGACTTTTCAGTGCACCACTGATGTGGAGCACACTGTTCTCTCGATGCAGTCTCTGTGGGGAATAGATGATGCCATTAATGGTAATTGTTTGCAATTGTGTCATGGTGCATTTCTTTCCATTTCATCCTTCTCCTTTCTTCATCTCTCCGTCGTCGTCTTAAAGAGCTCGGCTTGTAGGTTACGTTACAAGGCAGCATTGATCGACACAGCCTCTAAATCTCGACCTGTACTTACATGTTCATGCCTGGCTCCTTTTGTTAATTCCTAACAAAAGGCAGTGTGCCACAGTGCCTTGCAAAAGTATTATCCTTAATCCCCCCCTTCAGATTTTTCCACATGTGCCTGCCTACGTTACAACAACAAACTTTGGATTATTTTCTTTGGATTTTATGTGCTAGACTAACATAAACCAGTGCATAATTGTGAAACAGAAGGAAGATGAGGCATGGATTTACACATTTTGGCTTGCATATTCATTCCCAGGATTAATAGTTTCACTGGAATCACAGTTGCAGGTCCTTTGGGGGGTATATCTGTCTATCAGCTTTGCACATCTACAAACTGAAATTCTTCTCTTTAGAAAAGCTCTAGCTTTGTCAGATCTTAAGGAAGAGTGCTCAGGAGCATACTTATGCCAAAATTCTCTATTGTTCAAGCTGAATGTAGGTTTAGGCTTTTTTTAAATATGATCTGAACCGTTCCAGTGTAAATCAGGTGACAAGTCTAGTGCCTGATTTTTGTTGGATGGTGAACATCCAAACCATTTTTCTCCAGTCTCTAACGCATTTTCTTCTATCTTTGCTTCAGCTCTGAGCAGTTCCCCAGTCCCACTAAAGAGAAACATCCCCCCACTCCCCCCAGCATGATGGTGCCACCACCATGTTTCACCATGGGAAAAGTGTGTCCGGGACGTTTTGGTCTCATCTGACCACACCTTCGTTCCCATCTTTGCTGCATTTCCGTACGCATTATCTTGCCCTTCTTTCAACAATTAAACAGCATTACTCTTCCATTAAGGCCAGATTTTTTTTTTTTTTTTTTCCCGGTGTTTAGGGTAATCATATAAAAGGGGCTCACGTGTTTCAGATCGCGTAAAATTTTCAAAGTGATGCATCTTTTTCCCTCCCATGTCACCATAATGTTCTACTTTGCTTTGGCTAAACAAAGTAGAACAAAAATACCAGTAGAATACGTTGAAATTCGTGGTTGCAATGTGACAAAATGAGAGACGGGATGAGTGAATACAATCACCGAGTTTACCACGAGTGGAGTCAGAGGGACTACTGAACGACGTGACTGGGAAAGCAAACGCGACGCAACACAGGAAGCAATGCAGTGATTGGAGAAATATGGGAGAAATATGTCACTCCTGAATTGGACGCGCGAGAGGCTGAAGTAGGAGCAGAGACAATGTGGCCCACTCAAAGCAAGCGACCTAATGTGGGAGGAGAAAGCGCCGCGACTGTGAGGATGCAGTCACTCCTCACCTATTTGTGTCCTCTGCTTCGCTCCCAGAGAGCAAGTCTCCTGACAATCGCAGCGAAACATCTTGACAGCCGGAGGCACAAGGATAGGCGTTGAGGAAACCTGCAACGGGGAAAAAAAGAATAGGGCAAAGATCTGTGTATGTGTGTGTGTGTGTGTGTGTGTGTGTCCTGTGATAATGGTGTGTGAGAGCAGGAAACACACAGTGCCTGTTTTTGCTGCAGGGGTTCCTGGAAGTCAGCCGCCCAGTGCGATCGGTGGCTCTGACACTCGCATATAAACACGCACGCACAAGCACACACACACGCACACACACACACGCACACACACACAGGATACCTCGCCTCTGAAAGGGAAAAACATGCTGTGTCTGATACATGTGGACACAGACAAGCAGACTTCCTGCATTTTCCCACCTACTGGGCGGCCACCTGTAACACATTCACGGGCACACATGTGCAAACACACACAAACACACACACAAAAGACAAGTATAAGTTGAGAGTTGACAGTAAACAAGTGCCACTCAAATCCCTGTAATTATCTGTCATTTAATCAACATTGCTAGAGGCTTAGCAGCCCACCGTCAACATCATTAGCGCCGCTGCTGACAAAAAGCTGGGGGGGAGGGGGGGGGGGGGGTTAAAAGAAAGAGAAACAATTAAACCAAACCTTACCTGGTGTTGGATGTCTCTGTGCTTTCTGACCTGCGTGGAACATGAGCAGGAAAGCTTGAGCTTACCGACCATGCACACGTAATACAGCCAGATAGCTACAAAAAGCTAAACAATGTTTGTTAGTGTAATTATTCAAAAGAAAAAGAGAAATGACCAACTCTAAAAAAAAAAAACTTGACTTGTATTACTTGAGTCAGACGTAACATGACACGTGAATATTTTGATAACGCTGGAGTTTTGCTGTTGAGTAACTTGACATTGGGGCTCGATACATTTTCTGCAACGGTAGTTTTCTCATTGCTGTTCTCCCACAAGGATTTGACTGGTGAAGAACCAAGGTAATGGTTGTCTGCAGAGTCTCTCCCATCTCAGCTGTTTGCAAATCCTTCAACGTAGTCAGAGTTGTTCTGGTGTCCCGTCTCTGGTCTCCTCCTTGCATGGTTACTCAGTTCATAGCCTGCAGATTCATTCATGTGCCATATGCCCTCAGTTTCTTCACGATTTAGCTGAACTCCCAGGGATGTTCACTGCCTTGGAGATTTATTGTATCCATCCCTAATACACTATTTAAAACCTTTATTTCCCCCAAATTTGTTTGAAGAGTTCTTTTGTCTTCATGCGGTAATGGTGGACAGGAATACTCATTACCCAATGAATGGACCTTCCAGACACAGACGTCTTTATACTGCAATCACTGGAGTCACTCACTGCTCTCAGGTGATGTTCATTTCAGAAACTGTCTGGATCTCTCTTGAGTCAGGTCAGGCACTTTGAAGGAGGTCAATATTTGTGCAGTCACTTTATTTTATGTAAAAAATATATATTTTTTTAATTAATTGTCTTTATTTTGTAGGAATCAGTTTTCAGATCGAGATTTTTTGTGTGTGAAAAAAGTCAAATTTTGTTGATCATGACTTATTTGAAAAAGTAATTAGGAAGGTAAAAAAAAACATCCAACAGGGAAAGCATTTTTTTTTATGGGAAGTTTATTTTTTGAAAACATTTAAATTGCACTAAATTGAGACAACAGCTCACTAGTGATGTATTCACTCATTTATTTTGTGCCAGCTTATTTTTGTTGACTGTCATTCTCCACACATCAACAAGGTTGAATGATCATAATGATTACCTTTAGAGTAAATATATGAACATTTTACCTTACATCAATGGTAAATCTTTTCAGTATAAAATTGTAAGAATACACTTTGATAATTTGAGCTGTGAGACTGAAGAAACAACTGTTTAACTTCACAAAGTTAGAAGAGATTGTGGCACAAAAAATGTTTTTTTTGTGAAAAATGTTGAGCATAAAATACAGATAAAATGAATTTAGCAGTGAATAAGGCATTTTATTCCCTACAACAACAACTGGAGTATTGTACGTGTGGAATTGAAGACCTTTACTTGAGAGCATTCTTGGAAGGGTAAATTCCTCAGGACATTGAATTGGTCAGAAAACTCATTATCAAGAAAAAAAAAAAAAACTGAGGGTGCACCAGGGAGCAGATTCTTTCTTGAGAGTCTCATCCAAGGTGACATCGGTTTTCTGAGATTCTCCCAAGTGATTTAGAGAGAAAAATTCTCATGAATCTCTAATAGAAAAGAAAGAAAAACAGCACTGATCCAGACAATCAGTTATTCTGTCAAGGGAAAAAAACAAACAAAAAAAAAAACCTGGCTTTCACAGGGTCAATTAGTTTCATTGAACAGGTCAGGGATTGTGTTAACACCTTAAAAAATGTTCACCAGAATTCTTTGGGATATTTTTTTATTTTTTCTACCTTTCCTCCAAATAACAGTTTGAACAAAATGTAGTAACATTCCCAGTTGTAAAAGAATTACATATTTGCATATTAAACTTGCTATAACAAAAGACAATCTCACTCAATTTCTAAACATTTGAAAATAAGATCAGCCTTCTTTTTTTCTCCCACAGCAACTTTCTAAATGGAAAAGATTAGTAGAGAGAATGTGGGGAGAAAAAAAAAAAAGCCTGAATGCATAATGGGATAGCAGCTGCAGTGCAGCATCACATACAGGCACCGGGTCTGGAGAGGTATCTTATTCACTGAGGTATTACAGAATCCAGCCCACACTCTGGCTTGTTGCAAAGGAGAGGTAAGTGGGCGAAAACTGACAGCCTCACCTTATTCCTGGAGAATAAAAATGAGAGTTTCCAACTTGCACAGAGTGCAGTGCAAGCATCTTGACAGCATACAGTAACTTTAAAATCACAATGCAGGAAAATAATGCCTCACAATAGCAGGTTATAGTGCCCAGAACTCCATGTGAGATATACAGCATCCGCCCCCTCCGCCCCCCCCCGTCCCCCTCATTTAGACTTGAGCACATGTTCGTCGTATTTTTGTGGTTTGTTTTTCAATTCAGCCTCTTTTGGGTTGCAGGACTGAAAAGCAAATGTCGGCATGCGAGTGGAAGAAATTCAAAATAATTGTTATTGTTTTTGCTATCCAGTCTGACAGAAAATGTTTTTTATAGTGTACGATATCTGGAGGTTGATCCCAGAACATTATTTGCCAACATGCAGACATTTTTTAAACTTTTTTCCTCGTCTATTGGCTCTTTTAGTATGAATATCTGTAAACAATTATATTATTCCTGTCATAACTAATAAAAATAATATCTTAACTAATATTACTCTGACCATTTAATGCTCACTTTTCCATTTATTATCATCTCGTCCTTTTATTGTCACGTACCTCTAAATTGCTGTGCATACCCTTAAATTTTAAGGCTGCATGAATTTCAACTGATTAATGAACTAACCCATCATGCCATTTATAGTTACGATCGTTATAGTGAAACATTTTTGCAGTAGCTCTTAATAAACATAACTCCAATCTAAAAGGTTTCATGCAAATTGTTTACTTTGAAGTTTTGTTCCACGTCCCTTGGTAATAACTTACTTATTTGCGTTTACCATCGTTGTAAATACAAATTAAAACTGAAGTTTATAATAGTGGGAAGTTTTCTCTGCAGCCTAAACGTATTTACTGAGAGCAATAATGGTTAAAACGGGTCTAAGTATGACTGAATAATATTTTCATGTACCTCCGAAGCTGATTCAGGTGGGGTTCAGTACTTTTTGATAAACATTTTATCCGTGCCTGCTTTGACAGTTGTTTGTAGATGAGGATGAACAGGCAGATACGTAACTGCAAACGGGATTGAATTAGTGGGTTCAGGGGGTGGAAGGAGTGGGGTAGTTGTAGACTTAACCAGGTGCAGAGAGGATCAAAGAAAGTCTCTGGAAGGCATCAAATACCACAAAATGCACAAGATGAATTTAAGACAGTTTTAGAAGTTTAGCAAAAACGCAAACTGGAGAAAGACTTAATGATTTAAATGGAAAAAATAAAAAAATCTGAATTAAACTCATTCTAAAATGAACAGTAGCAAACTATTTTTATTCTGCTGATACCTAAAACCCGATAAAAGCATCCCACTACCATGACCACTGACCCCGACGCTGCCACATGTACGCACACGAAGCAGCTTCCAGTCCTAGCAGCTACATTTTTATTTCTTTAACTAAAGCAGCCCTCTGAACACAGTTGCTCCCAAACAGATCAGCGAAATTACTTCTGATTTAGACAGATGTCACACGGCAAAGCGCAAGTAAAAAAGCTGTGAATTGTTTTACAATGAGCGCTACGTGAAGACAAGCCTCGGGAACAGGAACTCATTGTAAGGTGACAGAATACAGATTCTAGTTAACGGACTGCAGGGGGGGGGGAATCTGCAAAAATGGTTTTTTTTTTAGTATAGATCCTCAGTTGGAACTGAATCCTTAACAGTTCATTTGGAATGAACTGTTAATGATCCATTCATGTGTTTCCAAAACTGTCATTGTGACTGAGAGCTTAAGGCGGCCTCCTTTGGTTTACTTTTTTTTTTTTTTTGCTAATTAAACAGCTCAGAGTATGAAATAATTTTCGGCTACACAAAGTCTTCTCAGTCTGGAGATTTAACCTCCTGAGCCAAATGGTACCCAAGTTTGTGAGCCGACTTCCTCCTTTCTAGGTGTTCGTCATAAAATTTCAATTTCAATCGAATTCCAGAGTCTCAGCTGCCAGTTTCATCTCCATCCAGCTGGATGACCCTGAACCAGTGGAGAAGAAACCTCCTCTTGACTGCAATCAAAATGTACTGAAGGGCTGATCAAAGAGTGTATAGAAATGTTTCCTATTAATTGGTTTAAAACTGAAGGTTTTCATTTCATATGAAGAAGCAGCATTACTACACAGTAAGCAACTCTGACAGGTGACTGCAGATAATACGTTCAGATTGGCTTGAGTGAGTTTTTTACAGCAGAAAATGTCTTCGAAGCACAGATTTTAGTCAGTAACCAGAAAATCAGATTGACATCCAATGAGAAGTACGTGGCTGCCAAACAACCATGACTCATCGTTTTATTCCTGACTCCTTATCAGCATGTCCAAGAAACAATGAGTTGAACAATTGGACACATTTTGTTAAAGCAGCTGAACGATACCTTCAGGACAGTAGGAGAAAAAAAAAAAAATAGTTGAAGGACATACGCATTCATTTCTTTTATCTGTGGAACCAGGGTTGAGAAGTTACATACACCCAACATCAAGTGCTTAGCCGTTTGTGCAAACTTCTGGCTTTCAGTAACTTACACTGTATATACGGTCACTGCCAAGCATTGCTGTGATTGGCGGTGATGGCCCTGGCCCCATCCATCATCATCACCCAGCCCCGCTATACCTCACTCGCAGGCCTTACTTCCGACTTCCCCCGAATCATCAGCCAGATGGCCCTCGCCAATGTTCGCTCGCATTACACACCTGATATGAAGCTATCCGTCATCTGATAATGACCAAGCTGTGGCGGTCCCCCAGCTGGGGCCTCTGCTGAAGCACTGGGCACTGGCGGGTATCAGGGATGGGTGGTTGTGGGGCGGCGCACAGCCTGACTGCCCCTCTGATGGATTAGTGCCAGGTAGTGTGGACGGGGAGGGGGTGTGAGGGTGCAGAGGGGCGTCCCCTAATAGGATTCACAATCGCCCAGTGGAGCATGGAACAGGTGTGAATCACAGAGACCGGGAAAAGAGAGGTGTGCATCTACTGAATTCAGCAAAACACCACACTCTTAAAATGTTGTCACTTTGGGCCTTAGTTTATGAAATATACTTTTTTTTTTTTATTTGTCACGCTACAAAACTCATTTTGACGACCAGTAGTCTGAATTCTGACTTTTGTATTTAGTCTCAGAATTTTGACTTTTTTTGAGAATCAGAATTGTTTAATTTTTTTTGATTCACCATCAGAAAAAAGATCCAGTCTTAAAACTCAAATCTACCCAATTTGACTTTCAGTGTGGATAAAATGTACATTTACAAATCCTGCAGCATAGAAGAAATGGTTGTCATTATTTTTATATGCCAACACACGGTTGACAAAATGTTGCACATAGATTGACACAGAATTAGAATTCTAAGATTAAAGCCGCTAATTCTTTTCTGTATAAAAAAAAAAAAATACATTTTACAAGCGCGAACGAAACACAGAATTTCTTTTACCCAAATGACTGTCATCTACACTTTTAAATAAAATCTGCTGTGATGTAAATGTTGACTTATTAAGCAGTTCAATGGACTACTTTACTTGTTAACAATATCTTGCTGTCGCGGTGATTGACAACAGAAAAATGTCTTAATGGCTTATGTTGAGCCTTATTTAGCAATGTTTCTGACTTGCTGCACAGTGAGGGAAGCTGGCACCGCAGATACATGCGCTTGTGCGCGCACACAAACATGCAGTAAAACGACAGCTCACACACACGGACAGACACACACTTACTTATCGGCAGTTCTCATTAGTAAAGTTGGCGTGTTGGAGCTGCACGGCGGCCCCTGCAGCAGTCTGAGAGTCGGAGGAACCATTTGTCAGTGGAAAACAATTAGTGGAGAATGATCCGTCCCATTGGTTTTAATGAGTACAGTCGGGTCACTCCACTCACAGCAGCATCACGAGTAGGTCATCAAAGGCTGAAAACACACATCCGTGTCACGCTCACACACAAGAGTAGAGGGGAAAAAAACACCACTTCCTATACACTTCCATTTTTTTGTCTTTTTACTGCTTCAAACGGCTATTATGTGCATATTTATGCACACATGTCCACAAAAAGTGGTGCAACCACATAGAGAGACAGCTGCTACCGTTTCTCATTCCTTTCAAATAATTCATCTCCATCTCCTTACATCAGCGAAGGCATTGAGAAGTCATCATGGTAAGTGGAGTATTATCAATAGAAGGTTTCTGTACAAAATATATAGCCTTGGGTAGTAATCATGGCGTAATAGTTGAGTACACTACAGTAGCATGTTTTTATGTACTTATGCCAATATGGCTACCTTGGTGTAGAACATTGCATTACATTCAGTATGTCTGATTTTCTTTGTCACTTGCAGCACCATCACAACATGTACACGCCTACTAAGAAGTTACTTTAGTCTTTACTCCTGTTGGCTGCTGATGCATTGGTTTTATTCCAAGTTTATCCAAGAAATGGACAGATATGAACAAAAAACAACAACAAAAAAAAACATGGGATGCAGTTGTATGTGGAGATTTTTAAATTATTACAATTTCCTGTTGCTGTCCACTGGCATAAGGAAAATGTAATAGTTGCTTTTTTTGGAAGCTAAAAGACCGTCACCCATCACCCATATTTAAGGTAACAATGGCTTAAAAAGTACAGCTGGCAAGCTACAAACAGGAAGTCTGTTAAAAAGCTGACTGCAGGCTCTAACTGGGCAGATTGTGTGGCTGATCAAGAAAGATTACTAAAAGTATTAGTCTGTAAAATATGGAATATATTCTTCTCAATGAGAACAATTGCTTTAAAATTACTGCTTTAAATTTCATCTTGCCACTCATGACAGAAGTAGATTTAAGCCCTGGTTTTCCAAATATGTTTAGATGAAAGGGGAAAAACTGTATACGTTGCACGTGACCATAAGTCGCAGGACTAGCTAGCTCAGTGGAGCAAATAGATATATATTTTTTAATTGTATTCTTATTTTTGGAATATGTTATTTTCCATGTCAAATCAGCTAAAAAGATTCATTAGTGGCAACAATAGACTCACACAAAAAATCTAAATCTGATTATCCCTTGGTTTTAAATAGCTGCCAACGTACTCTGCCTCAGGACTGCCTCTATATTTAGATCAATTACAATCAATTGATAACCCTGAAGCACATAAACCAAAGCAGACAGGGTCATTTTAATTAAACATGGCATACAGTAATGTATAATACAAGCTATCCTCATGCTACTTGTCGTATCTGCTGAATTGTAATTTTAGTCATTTTATTTTGTTTGGATTAGAATAGTGTTTTGCAAACTTTTTTAATAGCAAGTATCACTGGTAGATTTTTAGAGCTACTGCCACGCAGACAAAGATTTTACAAACTGAGGCATAATTGGAGTATTTTTCGATGTTGTCATGACTTCTAAAAATAAAAACAATACAAGAAAGACAAAAGACAATTAACAAAAATGCCCTGTGAAGTTTTAATTGCAAGTGGTAAAAGCAGACATTTCTCAACAACTTCAACATCCAATCTGTTTCCCTTTTACACAGAAAAAAAACAGCTATTGTAATAAATTAAGTCTTTTGAGAAGTTTCTAATTAAACAAACATTTGCTTCAGTAAATCGTATTTTTGTTTATTGGCGCTTATGAGAACTATATCATAGTTCCTTGTTTTTATTTAACTTACAAATAATAAAATAAAAGCATTTCTTCACAGGACCACAAAAGATCACATCAAGTGCAACCAGTGGTACTCGTAATTCAGATTGAAAACCATGGGATTAGATAATATGCAGCATAATAAGATAATTAAATGTTAACAGTTAGTCCAGTACAACTGCATACTAATATTAAATCTGGCATTTTATGCAGCAAAAACATCATATTTCTGTGTCATGTTAAAGAATTTCTTACCAAAAATAAAACATTAACACTTCCAGTTTAATGTCGTTCTTTTCTCACTTGCATGACCTCATATATCCTTAAAGTTACAAGTATCAAATCAAGCAGTGAAGTTTGATTTTGCACCATTTGAACATAAAAAAGTAAAGGATCAGCCCATTTCATCCCACTCCAACTAATTAAAAAAAAAAAAAAAAAAGATCACATTCTTACTTGTGAATTTTTCTATCTTCTCTGTTCTCTGAAAAAAAAAAAACAGTTGGCTCTCCAGTGGTTCTTCAGAACATTTCACAATCTAAAGTGGTGTAACTATCAAACTCCTTGTCAGTGTGTAATAGTTTTGGTCTGAATAGAAGAAAATGGTGAGGCACAAAAAAATAGAGACCGCCAATGAAAACATACAAAGGTTCAAAGAGTGTTCACAATAGTTAAAAAAAAAAAAAAAAAAGGGAAAATGTCCAACACCACCACCACTTCAGTGTCTTTAATAGGTACATTAAAGGAGGGACCACTGCAAAGAACCCACATGGTGTAAATACGGCCTCCATGTCCGCCTCGCTCCATCCCAGTCTGATCCCAGTGAAAAGAATTCCACAATGGTTTGAGAGAAACACTGACAAGTAAAAATGGGCTGCTGATGAGAGCTAGCCTGCTGAAACTGGGAACACCCAGAAGCCCTATATTCTGTTGTTTGTATGAAACCGTAAACCAAATTTTAACTTGGGTTTAGTTAAACAGTAAGCAGGATGGTTTTTATGAACAGGAAAAGCCTCACAAACGATGCGAGAATTCATTAATCAAAGTGCCTGTATTAGATTTACTGCGGTGTGTAGTTTATTTATTCTTTGCTGTGCAGTGTGGAAAAGCTGACAAACTTATTCCAGCCAAGGTAAACTTGGATTTGACTGCTGGAACATCGGTGAGCTTTTAAAATTTATGATGCTTCGTCCTCGAACTTTGGCAGAAACAAAGCATTGATTCAACTACAGTACAGATGGACTCTATCTACGACTTCAAACTAAAGTCCCAGTAAGTTCTCTACAGAAACTGATCATCTTTGAGTGATACCCTTATTATACTATTAGACACTTTGAATTATGACTTATTATATAAAATGGGTTTGTTGATAAATCACACATCAAAATGCCCTGATATAACATCATTAACAAGAATAACCTGCATTGTTTGGTCTGACTTTAGCTAGCAGGCAGTATCAGAAATACTATTACTGACTTCCTACTATAACACATGAGTTTGGAATTAAATTTAATAAATAACATCAAGTAACCAATACAACATGTTTCAATCATAAATTTTGATGTATATTACTAAGAATTGGTGCGATATAGAAATACAAAGAAATACATGCATATTTTTACAAGCAGAAATTTGACAGACACATGTACTTGAGAGCATTTACATTCCATATGCTCTGTGAAGGTCTCAGAGGTTTGTTAGAGATTAATGAACAAACAGGAATAAAGTAAAGGAGTTCAAATTAAAGTTATAGTTTATAAAAAACAATATCTAAAAACAATACTGATCTCTAAAGTGACCTGTGTATTACCTGTTGCTCACAGCTCCCTAAAATTATGGGCAAAGCATCTATTTCAGACGATAAGAATGCTATAACCACCTGAAGGCTGCAACAGATCTGACTGCATTCTACCTTCACATAATCTCTTGCAAAAGCCACCAGACTGCCAAGCCACACACAGGCTGTCTCTAAGCTACAATAAAGCAGTCATGCACATATTGATGCTCTTACCTTTTTTTGTTTTCAGCAGGAAATTTACAGCATTTATATCTGTTGCGTTTATTCGTTTTCAAGACAAAAGCAGACTTGTACGGCAAATGTCTGGTCATTCTTTTTTTTTTTTTTTCTCTCCGACACTGTACAGATAAACATGAAATTATATATAAAAATCCTTCTTTAATAGAAATGTTTGACATGACATTTTGAAACGCATCACAGAAAATAATAACCGAAGCTGAGAAAAACATGCACCAACTACACGTCGTTTTGCAGGCAATTTTTTTTGGTCTTATTTTAAATGCTACAGATGAAACCTAGACCTTACAATAAATGTCATTCCTCTGACAAACAACTGACAGTTAAATGTTAAAATCAGTTTCTTCAGTGAAACCCAATTCTTTATTCTTCTTGCCTTTTGTGCACGAAAAAGCTCCCAATGTATATCAGCGGCTGAAATTATATGTCAGAGCAATCGGAACCACATAATTAGAATAGTGACAGAGGTACTTTATGCTGATAATGTGGCACAGTAATTAACGGGAAATATCATGACCTGAGTGCCGTCGGCATTTGAGGAAAAAAAGTCATTAAAGTAAGAGATTACACAGGAAAAGAAATGAAAGGCTATAGAAAGAAAGAAAGGAAGAGAAGAGTCAGTCAGGTGAGGTGAGATGGGTTGTTGACGAGAAGAACTAATTTATATGTTTCAGTTCAAAAGTCTTTGGTCATCCTTCAAGTATTTCTCATGATTCTCTGGTAATCGTCTGAGTTCTGTGTTTTAGTCCCTCTGCTGTGTCTCTGCGGCAACAATTACCTGCAAGGGCGGGAATTTATCTGCTAACCATTAACTAATCAATCGCCGTACATGAAGACTAGCAGTGCTCCCACTCAGTGCCAGACTGTCCATCTTGGTTTTGGTATTTCAGCCCTTAGCTTTTTGCATTGCTTTCACTGAATCCAAGTAGATTACATTTTCTTTCATTGTGATGTACACCAACTACTTAACACTTTGGCAGCGTGGAGTCACTGTGGATCAGTAAAACAGTATTTATTCAGAAATAGGAAGGTTGTTCGGTTGGATATTTTCCATCTTTTCATTTATGAACTGAAAATCACTTTGGATTGCATAGAGTTTGAATGGTTAAATATAAATAAACTTGCTTTTGATCCCACCTTTTCTTGTGACGTTCATATAAGCGTTAATTTGCTCACCTTCTGTTTTAGCTTAAATCTGTATGGCTAATTTTAGAAGTTAGCTCTTTGGGAATCACATTTTGGTAAGAAACA